TTCCATTGGTCTATGTGTCTGTTTTTATGCTAGTACCACGCTGTCTTTGGTTATTATAGCTTTGTAGTATATTTTGAAGTGAGGTAGTGTGTTGCCTCCAGCTTTGTTCTATTTGGTCAAGAGTGCTTTGGCTATTTGAGGTTTTTTGTAGATCCATATGAATTTTAAAATTGTACTTTCGATTTGTGTCGAGGCCATGAGTTCAAGACCAGTGTGGGCAACATAGCAAGACCCCGTCTCTACAAAAAAATTTTAAAAATTAGCCAGGCATGGTGGTGACTGCCTGTAGCCCCAGCTACTCAGGAGGCTGAGACAGGAAGCTCCCTTGATCCCAGGAGTTCAAGGCTGCAGGGAGGTATGATCACGCCACTGCACTCCAGCCTGAATGAGAGAGCAAGACCCTGCCTCTTAAAGGAAAAAAGAAGAAGAATGTCACTGGTATTTTGATAGGGATTGCACTGAATCTATAGATTGCTTTGGGTAATATGGTCAATTTAACAATATTAATTCTTTCGATCCATGAACACAGGATATCTTTTCATTTATTTGTGTTGTCTTCAATTTCTTTCATCAATGTTTTATAGTTTTCAATGTAGATATCTTTTACCTCCTTGGTTAAATTTATTCCTAAGTATTTTATTTTTTTGTAGCAATTGTAAACAGAATTGTTTTATTGACTTCTATTTCAGTTAGTTTACTATAAGTATATATAAATGCTACTGATTTTTGTATATTTTGTAATGCAACTTTACTGAATTTGTTTATCAGTTCTAACAATTTTTTTTGGCGGAGTCTTTAGGGTTTTCTATAACTAAGATCATGTCATCTGCAAACAGGGACAATTTAACTTGATTTCCAGGTTGGATGCCTTTTATTTCGTTCTCTTGCCTACTTGCTCTAGCTAGGACTTCCAGTGCTATGTTGAATAGAAGTGGTGAAAGAAGGCATCTTAAAAGGAAAGTTTTCAACTTTTCCCCCCTCTCAGTATAATGTTAGCTGTGGATTTGTCATGTATGGACTTTATTGTGTTGAGGTACATTCTTTCTATACCTAATTTGTTGGGAGTTTTTGGTCATGAAGGGATGTTGGATTTTGTCAAACACTTTTTTTCAGCACCTATTAAAATGATCATATGGTTTTTGTCCTTTATTCTGTTAATGGGATCAATCATGTTTATTGATTTCATATGTTGGACCATCCCTGTGTGCATGGCATGAATCCCACTTGGTCATGCTGAATGATCTGTTTAATGTACTGTTGCATGCAGTTCGCTAGTGTGATTTTGAGGATTTTTTGCATTTATGTTCGTCATCAGGGATATTGGCCTTTAGTTTTCCTTTTCCTTTTTTTCTCTTTTTGTCATGTTCTTGTCTGGTTTTGGTATCCGGGTAATGCTGGCCACATAGAATAAGTTTGGAAGAATTCTCTCCTTTTCAATTTTTAAAAGATAGTTTGAGAAAACTTGGTATTAGTTTTTCTTTAAATGTATGGTAGAATTCAGCAGTGAAGCCATCAGGTCCTGGGCTTTCCTTTGATGGGAGAGTTTTGTTACCAACTCAATATCCTTATTCATTTTTGGTACTGACCACACATTTCTTCCTAGTTCAATCTTGGTAAGTTGTATGGGTCCAGGAATTTATTCCTTCTAGGTTAACCAATTTGTTGGCGTATAATTGTTTATAATCTATTATATTGTAATAGTCTCTTATGATCCTTTGTATTTCTGTGGTATCAGTGTAATGTCTCCTTTTTCATTTCTGATTTTGATTCTTCTTTTCATCTTAGTATAGCTAAAGTTTTGTCACTTGGTGTCTTTTCAAAAAACTGTTTGTTTCATTGATCTTTTGTATGGTCTTTTTGGTCTCTTTCATTTATTTCTGCTCTGATTTTTTTTTTTTTTGAGACAGAGTCTCACTCTGTTGTCTAGGCTAGAGTGCTGTGGCATCAGCCTAGCTCACAACAACCTCAAACTCCTGGGATCAAGCAATCCTTCTGCCTCAGCCTACTAAGTACTTGGGGCTACAGGCGTGCACCACCATGCATAGCTAAGTTTTTCTGGTTTTAGTTACCTGGCTTATTTCCTTGCTTTTTCATGTCTCTTGTGTCCCTATGTTGATTTCTGCACATTTGGTAGAACAGTAACCTTTTTCAATTTCATAGAGTGGCTCTAATAGGGAAAGACTTTCACCTGCAGATGGGTCCTAAGGTGTCAGTTGGGTAGGGCACATTGGCTTTGGTTCTGAGTGGGCACGGCAGTGTAGTCCCTGTGCAGTTTCTTTAGCTGTTATCAATGTCAGTGATGCTTGTGAGTGCCTCCATGGCCTAGGCTACAGGAGTTTGTACAGCTGAGCCACCAGATTGGGCATGGTTCCCCTGTGGATGGGGCACCAGGCTGGTTGACATGCTAAGGGGATGCAGGGCTGGTCCACTTACCTGGGTGTAGCTTCCCCACTGAGCAAGAATGCCTATTCCTTGGGAGGCAGGGCACCATGTGGGCTCAGGCACCAGGGTCATAGCTGCTCCACTGGGCCTAGGCTCTGAGTAGCCAAGTTTGGGGCCCTGCAGGCACTGGGATGGGGAATATAGAGTATCTTCTAGGCAGCTTATTCCCAGGAGTAGGGAGCTGTAGCACCTTGGCTGGGGAATGGTGGACTACTGTGAGCATGATGTAGTGATGGCAGAGCCTCGAGAGAGAGAGAGAGAGAGAGAGAGAGAGAGAGAAAGAGATGCAGTGGCTCCTGTCCCCTGGAGCAGGATGCTCCATAGCAGTGGGTCCAGTTTGAAAATGGTGTCATGCTGCAGCAGCTTGGATCACAACATGGCTCCTTTTCTGGAGTAGTGCAGCCACGTGAACTCCAGGCAGCTTTCTAAACTCGGCTCATGGCCTGTGAGGACTGCAGAATTCTCCAGCAGCAATGACTGCAGGTGTCTGTGCTGTTAATGGGAACTTCAGAGTTTGGGGGCTCCTGCTTTCCTTTTCCCCACAGGGAAGTCCCTCTTGGTGTTGAGCCGATCCTGACTAGGGATATGGGTGGCAGAGGCAGGGTCTTTCATTCCCTTCTCTATGCAGCCAACCTCAGTCTCCATGCTCCAGCACTTTCCTGCAGATACTCCACTCAAAGTGTATTTGTTTATTCATGCCTTTGGCCCTTTTTTTGTGGGGGCATCTTGCTGATGTCACCTGGAGTGTCCTTTCTAGGAAAATTGTTAGCATATTTTTATGAACAAATGAAATAAAATCATTTCATCACGCGACTTTCAGAAGACAATTTTGTGAAAAGGCAACAAAATAAGTCATTTTATGAAAAGGTCAAAGAATTCACAAAAAAGGTAGAATTCTAGCTTTTCTTTAATCACTGAATTTCAGTTTTTACAAATAATCAGTTCAGGTAACTAAGGATTTGAGGGGGAAACAGTTCTTGTACATGAAAGACTATTACATGCTCCATTTTTCTGCAAATATATTGGATGGATTAACAAACATTGTCACAAAAACAAAATGGTTTTTTTTTTTAAAGCCGTAGATCACTGCACATGTATTTACAAAAAGCCACAAACATGCATTTCTCCTTTATTTGGAGGACTTAAATAGATGTTTGAACATTAAGGCAGTGACAGTTCTAAAACATAATGAAATTCTAAGTTAAGGCTTTATGTTTGTTTTGAAACCCATATTCATAGGCAACTGTGACCAAAGCAAACTTTTATCTACTAGGTTGAATTCATCTGCCTAGGATATGTTATTTATCCATTACCAACTCTTCTTTTGTATCAGATAGGAATTAGTAGCAAAACCATCAATTTGCTTTAATGAATCATTAGTCCCCTTCTTAGGTTTTAAGGAGTTAGCCTTCAGCAGCACACGTGTTTTTTTTTTTTTTTTGTAAACTTAGAGAACTTACAGGCTGCATTGATGCTTACCTGCCTGAAAGTTGGCCAACAATTAACAATTCAGGATTTCCCAAACACAGAAAACCCCCAAAGCATACTTGATCGTGCTCCCATCTGAAAACATAGTAAATGTTCTTATTGAAACACTAGGTTCACCTTTGTTTTCTTTGAAGACTGTGGGATTATTCTCTTTTAAAAAATAAAGCAACAAAATGCAGAATACCATATTTTAGATGGATCTATAATTGCTAGCCTCAAGGCACAAACAATATCCTTGCTAGACCAATGTCTTTTCTTATTCAAAGGAAAGATAACAAGTCGCGGATGGAAGAAAAATTCACTTTAAAATAATTGTAGATTACACTCTTGCCCTATCAAGCTTAGTAGAAGTGCAAAGTGTTGAAATCTAGGGGGAATGTCCTTTTCTCTTCTCACTTTTCTTTAACACTGACAGTGACAAAACTCAGATCCAGCCTGTGGGTGCACTTTGGGAAACAGCTCCAGGGCTCCACTCCGGCCTATTGGGGAAAGCAGACAGGATGATCACAGAGCACACTCCAGGATGAACTACTAGGCGACCCTGTGTTTCCATGGTTTGGATGACTTACTGTTATTTAGCAGGATCATTATTTACACTATGCTTGCTGCTCTTTCTTGAGGCAGTAATTTTACAGCAATAAACCTCTTATGAGGAAAGTACCACACACTAACACTTGTATCAACAAGAGCTCATGTAGAGGAGGGATAGCACTGGCTACATGAAAACTACCTAAAAAGCTAAAGACAGCTGTAGTCTTCCTTGGTGTTTTCAAATCAGAAAAGAGATGTCAAAGCAGAAGAAACTGCAGGCAGCAGGGGTCTAAAACCACAGCAGCACTGTTGTTTGAATCTGATGGTGGCAGCACCAGATTTCTTTAGATATTACGATCAAGAAACAGGAATTGCTAACAAGCACTGTCAAAAATATTTTATATGCAATTTAAGTAAAGTATGTTACACGTGACTAAGATGTTTTGAAGATTTGAGAAGTTTGTACCCTAGTACCTGGTAAGCTTGGCTTCAGCTAAATGGCTATATAGGTTTTATAGGTGTGAAATACATTTTTTTTAAAGATGGAAAGACTAGCTGTAAAAGGGCAAATGTAGGCAACACAAAAACAATTTTTTAGATCAACATCTTACACTTTATAATACACTCACATTCATACACAAATTTCATGTTTACAAGTACAAAGGGCAAGAACTGCAAAGAATCGAATCAACTGCATCACTGACTACATTCAACAGAATTAACACTGTTGTCCGTTCCCCATTTTCCATATCCAGAAAGAAGTGGTAAATGCCATCCCACACACGGACTCCACTGTTAGAAGCCGGAGACTCTGTGCAGCTCAGCACACGTCTGGGTTTCTACAGAGCTGAACTGAGACTCCATCGTGTTCCAGGCCAAATCAGCCAGGAGAAAGTCATCCATTGCTGTCTGAGTCTCATTGCTGGTGAAGAACAAGCTCCCCAGGGTTTCAAAACCAGAACTCATGGTCTGTGTTTCTGCACTGTTCAACTGAACTTTGCTTTCTAGAGCAGGTATGTTTTTAGCAGTGCAAATTCCTTCAGTTTGGGTCTCTGTGTCAGATGAATCAGTACTCATGGAAAAGCTGGAGTGTTTCAGAATATTTCCCAGAGGCAGATGAGGGCTGCTGTCTAAAAAGAAGTTTAAGTCAGTCTGTGTCTGCGTGTCAAACATCTCAAGGCCTAAGAAGTTAGAATTTCCCCTACACCCATAGGACTGAGCAGAGGTGTCTGCGAGTAAGAAGTCAGTTTGGGTCTCTATGTCCAGTGATTCCAAGACTGGTTCGGTGTTCATGGTGCTAAGTTCACTCTCTTCAGTTTGAGTCTGGATATTTGAAGCTGAAAAGAACTCTTCGATATCAAAATCTATTCCGGGATTCTGGGTTGGGCCAGACGGGAGCTGGGTGTCAGGTCCAGGATTCGTGTCAGACAAAAGACTACGATTATCCAATGTCTGACCAGGCAGATTATTTGACAAGATGTTTTCTAAATCACTTAATAAATCCATGGTTTGGGTCTGATTATCTGTCATGTTCTGTGAAGGAAGCATACTATTCTGTGCACTGAAGTTTATAATGGGTGAGGATTTCTCAATATCTTGATTTAAAGTCTTAGGGTCATTCTGAGGCAACAAACCATGAGTTACTGTCTCTGCTACTAAACTGCTGCTTATAATATTGTCTGTAGCAACACTGTATGATGAATGAACACTCTCAAAAATGTCTCCGCACATTCCAGCTTGGTCCATCTGTATGTGGTCATCGGTCGGACTCTGCATCCCGCTGGTTTGAGTTTCTCTGGAGATCCCACCTGACTGGAAACAAATGTCTGTAAACGCATCAGTCTGAGCAGCAATAGACGAAGTTACCTTAGAGCTGGGCAAAAACGTTTGCGTGTGAACACTAATGGGAAGGGACACTTGAGAGTCAAACGACAAATCAGTCTGGGAACAAGACGACACAGAGGAATCAGGGCTAGCCCACTGTGTACAAGGTATAAAGTTTTCTGAGGCATAAGACAGATCTGTCTGTACATTGATTGAAGAAATGCTGTTCTTCTGACATGTGTTCCCAAGTTCTTGTAAAGGAGCAGATGGAATTTTACCCAAGTTCACTTGAACACCTGTACTAACGGGCTCAATTTTGGAAAGAGGTAGGCTCTCCTTAAGAGAGTAAGCCTCTGAATCTAGGCCGACGATCAGGGTTCCTATTGACAAGGGCAGTAAGTGCACAGCCCCTGTGGCAGAGCCCTGATCGACACCTAACACCACAGGCTGGGCTGGGGAGTCGGCTGTAGGCACAAAGACAGGCATAGGAGAAAACTGCATCACGGGTAGTTTAACCAGAGCCACTTTGGGCTTTGGTAAAAGCAACTTCTGAGGATATTTCGGAGGTGTTGTAAGCGTCTGTTTTCTGGCATTAGAGCCGCAAGAATCTTCGAAAGGTGCTACTAGCTTTATTTCGGAAGCTTCCAATTCTTGAGTGTCTGGTCTAGGGATTGGTCGGTTGATCAATGATTCAACGGTCTTATTGGACAACTTCTGGTTTTGCAGGCAGTTTTCCATTTTCCTTTTCTTACTAGGTGGATCCCTGAAAACAATGACAGAGCAAAAAGAAAAACAATCTTAAAATGCAGCTTTCTTCGACTGTGACACGGTGTCTTCACTTACTCACAAATGCCATATCCCACATCTACGGCAGAGGGTCACATTCCACCCAGGGAAGATAAATAAATTTCTTCTTTTGCAACTCTGGGAATTGGGCTTATTATGGTAGGTGGTTGTTCAGAAACATGCAAACAGGGACAGGGAAGGAGGTAATAGACCTTTTTTGTTGTGGTTAAGCTCTGAGTACTAGAACTTAGATTTTTAAGCAAAAGGAAGCTAAAAGATTTACATAATGCAAGTTTTGTCATTTTTAAAGCAGGAAGCTATTATACTAAATATAACTTCGATCTTTACAGCTTCAAGATAAAACTTACTCTTCAGCAATCTGATATCCCTCTAATAGAAAATGCTGGAAGTGGACACTTTAACATGGGAATAATAAGGAGGACCCTGAAAAAGGGTTGGCAGAAAAGAAGGATGAATAACTGGGTCAAGGTTTCAGGCCCTGACGTGGGTCCTCTGCTAGTACTGCTGCCGTTTCCAGCAGCTCGCTTCTTCCATGACCCACATTTTCTCCACGAGTCTTGTTTTCCCCCAGCACTACTGGCTCTCCAGGATGTTTCATCTGAAACTCCTCCCATAGCTGCTGACTTCTGTGCCATCAGTTCTTTCCCTTCACCTGTGTTCTGCAGGGATCTCGTGGCCAGTTCGGTAGATGTGGGACTGCAGTGCGGTTCTGCTAGCGTAGGGACAGCCACACGTGCACTGGAAGGTCTTGCCGCAGTCCTCCGCGTGCCTCTTCAAGTCCCACTTCGTACCATACGAATTGCTGCACTTACTACACTTATGCTTCTTCTCAGCGTGCATTTTCATAAAGTGCTAGGAAGAACACAGAAGGCACTGAGGTGAGAAAGAGCAACTGCTCGACACATTTCAAAACCATCAAGCTACCCAAATTAACAATGGTTTCACAGGTATCAAATACGGCAGTCTAAGTCAAGAGAATTTAAAAGCAGGCAAACTGCAGTTTATCATGTGCCTCTTCTCCTTGTCACTTTTGCTCTGTGGAAACTGAGGAGACTTTAGGAAGTAATCCACGGTACCCAGTGTTTAGACTTGGATCTACAAATGAGTGCTGCAGGCAGAAAAAAACGTCTTTGCAATGCTCTTCTCAGGACACCTCCAGCGGACCTTCAGGGAAACGTTTCAGATGCCAGTATCTTCCAGTGCTGGGTCACCTCTTTCCTGTCACTGGGCCCCTCCCTCCTCTTAAGATACCTCCAACACTCTTCTTTTCCCAGATTCTGCAGGTTCTTATCCCCCGGGAGAGCAGTTCTTAGTGCCTTTGTGCTCTGCTCTTGGAGGTGACTCACCCCAGGGATCTGCAAGCACACACTTTCTCATTCTTCGCTCAACTGGTCTACTTTCCCTTCTCTCTGAAGCCACCTGCAGACATGTTCGCTCCAGAACGAGCCACGTGTCTCTCCACTCGCATCGCACTGCGCTCACGTTTTCACCAGCTGGGAGATGCCTGGGTACCTGCTCTCGTGAGCAGTTTTCTGCTCAATTCTGTAGGTATGTTCACTAATGAGCATGCACACTAGCTTTATATCATCTGCACTGCAACCTCAGAGAAAGAGACTGAAGTAAAATACCTGTTTTACGAGAGAAAATTGAGAAAATGGTCTGTCAGGGCCTCTAGGGCATCCTTCAATCGGACAACAGTAGAATTTCGGTACGGTTTTCAAATCTTTTCTTATTGTTGGATTTACTATGCCGTCCTGCAAAAGGAAAATTGCTTTAAGTAATTCTTTTCAAAAAACCAATAGAACAGGCTGGGGTGGAAACAGGGAATGACTGAAAGGGGCACATTTTATGAAATTCTTTTAATTAACCTATAGTTTTTCCATCTAGCCTATCAGTGACAGAAAAAGAGTATGAGTGTGTTTGAGTAGCTTAAATGAAATGTGGGAATACTAAGACTCTGAAATCCTTCATTCATTTGACTATTATCAAATTCCTTTTAGCCAATTTATCCCCCTTATCTGTTCCTAGGCTGTCAAATGCTCCAAAAAACTGACTGGATCTCTACGAAATTCACGCTCACTTCTGACTCATCCTCAGTGATGCTTGGTGATCTTTTTATTATCCCTTGCAAACTCACTTGCATGCCCCAGAGTACAAGCTCGAGTCCCTCTTAATGCCTTTTACTATCTCTCAGCCTTTCCTTTCCACTGCTCCATAAGTCAAGTCCTCCTGACTCTCTGTTTGGACTGTGTCATTAACCTCTTAACTAATTTCTAGACCTTCAATCTCTTTTTCACTCAAACTTTATCAGATTCGTCTTCAATCATGTCATCACCACACTCGAGCATTTTTTTCCTTTACTTTTTAAAATTTTTTGTAGAGACAGGATCTCACTATGTTGCCCAGCTGATCCTGAACCCCTGACCTCAAGTGATCCTCCCACCTCAGCCTCCCATAGTGCTAGGATTACAGGTATGAGCCCACCTCTCATTATTCCATTACCCCTAATGGAACTCCTTATAATTCCCCAAACCTTTTCATGGGCAGGGATTTATTTGTATCTTCTGTTGCATTTGGGAGTATTTTGAACAGAGAAAATGTTCAGTAAAACTTGTGGCATTATACTGAATATGTTCAAGTGGCCACCTAAGTTAAAACGTTATCATGCCTCGGAGGTTAAAAACACTCTGTTGCCGTTGTTACAGGCCATAGCAAGGACCTGACACTGTCCATTCTCCTGCTTTCCGAGGGCTAGCTCTTCAACTTTCCCATCAGAGCAGTCCACCCAGTTTGGGGGCCTTCTTGCCATTTCTGTCCTGAGACAATAATAAGCTTGAGGGTAGGATGGTGGAGTAAGAAATAGCAATGGCACAATAAAACAGGAACTGCAGTGAGAAAGTGGTATCTTTGTTCTGAAGTTCCCTATACACTGAGAATAAAACTTACCAGATTTAGTATCTTTGGTATGCATAATTTAAAAATTACACAAAAATACTTTGTGAACTATTTTAAGTGACAGAATTTGAAAAAGAACCTATGAGAGGAAACAATCCAAAAACAAGATGGAAAAAAATACACAAAAGAAGAAAAAGGAAAAGGAAGGACAGACACAACTGAAGAGTAGAGGGTAAAAGGAAAGGCCTGTAAGAGCTGTAGCAAAATTGGAAAACAGCATGTAGCTACTCTAGCAAGCTGACTGCCTTCACAGAAAGCATCCAAGAAGGAAACCAGTTTGCTTTGTCATCTCATTCTGAATGTAAAATTAGAAGTCTCTGCACAATATGGTCTACAGAGCAACTTGGAACCTTTCCTTTCCTTTTTAAAAAAATGTTCTGGCAAATCCTTAAAAGCAAACCCTTGGGCTGAACGTAGTACAAAATCCTCCAAGCCATGTTTTGAAAATATAATGATGTTTGATAAGAGATTCTTTAAGTGCCCTCTTGTCCCTTCCACTACTTTCAAACACGAGGAACAAAAGAATCTCTAGCGATCAAAAAATGCCTATGTACGCCGCCTCTCCCTTTCCCTGAATCATCGTAGCTTTCGTGTCTCCATGAATCCCACCAGGAATCCCACCGTGGGCAAGGCTAGGCTATTTCCAGATTTCCTTACAGGACATGGAATATGGACATACATCTTAAGAACCCACATAAAACCAAAGGGCAGCACACTACAGCTTACCGTTCAATTCCCCATTCCCACACCTCATCCTTCAGAAGGGCTTGTTCATCATTTATGCTAAGAAAGGAATATGTGGCTCGGGGCGGTGTTTTGTGAAGAGTAGAATAAAATAAGAGCCATACAGGAACTAATGGGGAAGGGAATAAATTATCATAATCTAGAAAATATATAAACAGTGAAAGAAATTAGAATTACGCAAGTAGCTGTAACCAAGACAATAAAAATTTCCACTGAATATAAGAAAATCTGCCCAATGAGATATACTCAGAGGAGCTTCAGGGCAAAATGCAAGGGAGCTTCCCAGCCAGTCCTCTCCCCACGCCTTTCTCTTCCCCACCCTCCTTCCAGTAGTTTGAGAAGTGTCAAGGATGATCCTTGAACTGAAGAGCCTTCTAGGCAGTAACCAGACTGAGGGTACAGACCCACCGCACTGGGGCACTACCGCACGGACATGGCTATTTTGTCACACGGACCACCTTCATTAAAGAAAATGAACCTGCTTTCCACCAAGACGGCAGATGCCCGAGACTGCTGGGCACCAGGGATAGAAAGGCAGGACGAGACAGGACAGGGAAGCCCGCTTACCAGGAAGAAAGACATGGAGCTGGGTAAGGTTTAATTCCTGCTAAAAAAAAGGCTGCCCCGGTGACCTAGGAAGGAAACTTAGAAGAGTCCATCTTTCTGTTCTTCAACGTTTTCAGTTCAGAAAGAAATCATGAGTGTACTGTGCTGTCTTCAGGTAAGAGAAATCTGAAAAATGAACCTGACCAGAACTGAAATAATGACGTCAAACCGGTTCTAAGCAAGGGAGGACACTGATACCCTGAAATGTAAAGTCCAAGTAAAGATTTGACTGTCAAAAGTTATATTTGTCCAACATAGTCTTCCTCCTTAGGCCTGCTGTATTTTATGTATCGGTATCTTGTGAATTCCTGCACTTTAGATATTTTAAAAACATAATTAGAAATAAACCTATTGTATACTAACCAGTCCTGAAGAGTAAGTGGTATCTTTATGCTTAAAAGATGCTTATCAAAGTCTTGAGAGAGACAGAGCTCCCAGTAGCAATTCCAGAGAAAAGAACGATATAAACTGTTAAATACTTGTTAGAGTGATGTTCAGCCAACACCAAGGACAGTCCTGCACAGCCTGGCAGCTTTGTGTGTGCTCAGAGATGTAACACGTCAGTAGCTATCAGTGAGGGGACAATATGGGCGATGCCTGCTGTATACCAGCTACAGAGAACCAATGGCTTCGGCTGTAGAATCCCCACAAATATATAGTTCATGCACCCATGACAGGATGTGGTCGAGGAAGGATTTAGTTAAAATTTAGTATGAAAGAGAAAACAATAGATTGAAGACCATTTCCAGAGTTGCACTTGTGTGCTAAAAGAAACCCAAAACTCTTCTAAGGAACAATGCGGCCCCACCTGCAGGGTCTTCCTTGGCACACCTCCAAATGCAACTCCTGACTGGGTTCCCTGATCTTCATGAGAAAGTTGTTGCATTTTGGCTCAGCTGGTGGTAAAAGCGGATCATCCTTCATGGGCAACACTTTTATCTGTCCTACTAGAGACTATAACCTCAAAGTTTCTGCTGTTAAATTCTTATCAGAAGTCCGATTCCTAGGAACTTTTCAAGGAGGGTTTACCTGATGGGCAGACAGAACATGAAATACTCTGGGTGATCTAAATTTATTTCTGAGTCAAATCAGACCATCAAAAGCTACATATTCACAAAATTGTTTTCGGTGACCTGTGCTTTTGAATTATGTCACTGCTGGCAGAGTGGTGTAGAGCGGTGGAAGGAAACTTCCTACTGTAATGACTGAGAAATTATGACTTAATAGGTCTCGGGTGGGGCCAGACATCTGGATTTTTAATAAGCTTCTCACAGATGTGCACCAAAAGTTGAAAATTACTGCCCCATTTAATGTGATGATGTAGAGGCATTGTTCAGACTATTGTCATGTTATACTATGTCCCTTCTTAAAGAAGAGCCACGGGAGAAAGTTCCCTTAGGTCGCATTCCTGAGCAAAGCCGATCTTACCAACACTGTGCAACTGTGACAGATGGTGCTTAGAGCCAAACCTGCAACAACTTTTAAAAAAATTTTATTTTCCAGTGACACATAATTATTCATATTTATGGGGTTCAGTGTGATGTTTTGATACACATATACATTGAGTAGTGATCAAATCAGGGTATGTGGCATGTCCAGTACCTCAAACATTTTTCCTTTTAGTGTGGGGAGAACATTCAAAATCCTCTCTTCCAGTTATTTTGAAATGTACAACACAACACACTGGGCAGGACCTAAGGGCGGTGTGGGTGGGGTGTAAGGAACACAGGCCTCTTTCAGAACCAGAGGCCCAGGTTTAAGGCCCCACATCACATAGGTTGCATAATCTGTCTCTCATCAGTGTAATGGGGTAATACATGTCCCTCTCCAAGTTGCTGTGAGAACTAATGAGACAAAATGTGTAAAATGCCCGGGCCGGTGCCTGGCACGAAATTCAAGGCCAGTAAGGGCTGGCTGTGGGAGCCTGACACCGAGTGCGTGACACAGTGCTTCCCACCATCAGGTCTCCGTGTGCACCAGCTCTCCCTTTCCCTGGCCGGGATTCCGTACTCGTCCGCCCGCTTCGTGTGTTTGGAAGCCACCTACGACCGGGGGCGGGCGACGGCGGGCAGGGTAGGTGCGGCGACCGGCCCTCCATCCCCCCGGGGCCGTGCTCGCACGCCGCGCTGGGCGCTTTGTTGGAGCCAGGCCCGGCGCCCCGGCCGCCGCCGCGTCGGGCTCACCTGCAGGCGGTGGCTCTTGACCAGGTGCATGTTGAGCGCGGGGCTGTTGGGCAGGATCTTGCCGCAGCCGCGCACGGTGCACAGGATGTTGGTCCGCACGGCCCGGGACAGCTCGCTCACCGACGGCTGGATCAGCTCCCGGGCCGGAGGCGCCGGGGCCGTGGGCCGCTGCATCGCCGCCGCGGGTCGCGGCCGGCTGCCCCTCAGTCGGGCTCCGGGGGGCCCCCACGGGCCCGAGGCGGCGGCGGCTCCCCTCGCGGCCGCCGGGACGGCCGGGGCACCCGCCGCCAGAGCCGCGGGACCCGCCGCCGCCGCCTCCAAGGCCGCCATAGCTCCCGCACGGCCGCCGGCCCCGCTCCCAGGCCCCGCCTCCGCCGCAGCCACTTCCGGCAGGGGGCGGGGCAGCCCGGCTTATTAGCATCCGGCGGGCCCGGGCGCCGCCTGCCGGCCTCGAGGGCGCGTCTCGGCGGCAGCCGACGTCAGGTGAGGCCGCGGGAGGCCAACCTTGACCAGCCACCAGTAGGTAAGAGGTATCGCCTTCCGCCCCCACGATTGGTCCATTCTTCGCCTTCCTAAGAACTTGACCTTAGGCAACAGTTGGAGAGAGGAAAAACCAAGGCTTTCAGCAATGCTTTACTTCCCAAAGAGTAGGAACAACCCAAACGTTCAAGGGCAGGGGAGGCAGGCGCACACTAATTTCCGCCGTCCTTTACCGAGGGCTCATGTGCCGGGCCCTGGGGGGCGCGCTTTTCATTCAGTATCTCATTTTGTTTTCAAAAACGACGGTAGAGGGTGTGACTGTAAATTTCCCCTCATTGTGCAGAGAAGGAAATTTAGGCTTATAGGAATTAAGTACGTTGCTCTAGGTCACACTATACAAGGAAAGGATTGTTGTAATTGACAGGGTTAATCATTTTAGGGAGGGTGGACTTTCTTGCCTGTATTTTAACTGCTGAAATTTTATTACTATTTGGGAGACAGTGTAGCTCAGTGAATGGTTCCAAAACTTAAATACTGAGAACTGAACTCTGACCTTTTTATTTTGCCCAAATTCCTTTCTAAGAGGCCTGGTGAGTCACACCTACAAGGGATAAAATCTCACTCAACAGGTTTTGTTAACCTGATATATTGCGGTTTATATTGCCATATATTACTTCCCAACATGGATAGCATCACAGGAGAGATAAAAGACCCCCTTACCTTAACTCAAGCATCCTAGCAGACCCCTATCTTAACTCATGAATTCCTTTCCACTGACTCTTTCAACCAGTTGTCAACTAAAGAATCCCTAAAACCCACCTATGACTTGTAAACCCCCCATCCCCCAAGATTTCCTGCCTTTTTGGGCCAAACCAATGTATATCTTCCATGTATTGATTTATGATTTTACCTGTAATTCCTGTCCCTGTGAATGTATAAAACCAAACCGTAATCCAGCCATGGATTGAGAACTTGTCCACTGGGCTGCGGTTGCACACATTTGGCTCGGAATAAACCTCTTTAAATTATTTTAGAGTTTGGATTTTTCCACCGACAATACTTAGACGAGGTAGGTCATGTAAATGGGCATAGGCAGCCTAGGGTAGACTAAAGAGAGGGGTGAGGACTGCAGTGAAATTGGAGATACGTCCTTTTTAAAAAGGGGGCAGCTGCTACTCATCTTTGGTATTGCTAGATTTCTATGTGTATACCTCAAACTTTTACATACTAGCAGTTGTATTCGTTTTCTCTTGCTATTAATAGATTACCACAAACTTACTATCTTAAAACAACATAAATTTATCTTATAGCTCTGGAGGTCAAAAGTCTGAAATAAACCTACTGGGCTAAGATCAAGGTGTTGGCAGGGCCGTGTTCCTTCCAGAGGCTTTAGGGGAGAATCTGTTCACTTGTCTTTCCCAGCTTCTACAGGCCGCCTGCACTCCTTGTCTTGAGGCCCCTTCCGCCATCTCCAAAATCAGTGAATAGAGTCGTCACATCACATGGCTCTGATTTCTTCAGTAGTCACATCTCCCTTTGAATCTTCTATTCCTCTTTCACTCTTGAGGACCTTTGTGATTCCACTGAGCCCATCCAAGTAATCCAGGACAATTTTCTGAGCTGCAAAGTCCCTTTGTCTTGTAAGGTAACTACATTGCGAAACATATATTTGGTTTTCCTCCAGTTTCCTGGCATACAATTCCTAAAATCCTTGGAATCTTCAAAGTGATGTCTTTTTGTATGGTAATAAGTTAACTGATAGCTGGCTGTCCCTACATAGCATCAACAATGGGCTGGTCATTGGAAAGACCAAGTTAGGATTAGAGGGTTGGGACTTCCAGCCCTACTACCCAACCTCCAGAGAGGGAAGAGGGCCTGAAAGTTAAGTTGATCAATTGCTCCTATGTAATGAAGCCTCTATGAAAACCCAAAAGGACTGGGTTCAGAGAGCTTCTGGATAGCTGAACATGTGGCGGTTCCTAGAGAGTGGTGAGCCTGGAGAGGGCATGGAGGCTCTGTGCACCTTCCCACATGCCTTGCCCTACACATCTTTTCAGGTGTATCCTTTGTAATACCCTTCGTAATAAACCAGTAAGCTCAAGTGTTTCCCTGAGTTCTGTGAGCCTCTCTAGCAAATTAATTGAACCCAAGGAGGGGGTTGTTAGAACTCCAACTTATATCAGGTTGGTCAGAAGCCAGGTAAAACAAGCTGGGGCTTGCAAGTGGCATCGGAAGTGGTCGGCAGTCTGTGGGACTGTGCCCTCAACCTGTGGGATCTGACACTGTCTCCAGGTAGTTAGCGTTGGAATTGAATTGCAGGACACTCCGCGGGTGTCCACTGTAGAAACGATTGCTAGTGTTAACCAAGAAGAGGTGAAAAGACCATACTGCAAAGCAGTAAGACAAGCATTTATTAGAGTCTTAGGAATTGCAATTTCAAAGACACAGATTCAACTAGCAGAAGTTTGAAAGAACACAGATTCAACAATCATGTTCTGAGGAGAGGGAGGGGAGTAGGGTTTTTTAAAAGGAAGCTGATGGTGATTACACAAGTTGTCTTGAAAGAATTATCACTGGTAGAGATGACTGGTTTAGTACATGAGTCCACAGTTCGTTGATTGTCGTTCAGGGGTTGCAGTGCTGGTGAAATTCAGCTGTTTTCCAGGATTTTGTGGTTGTTGCAATTCAGAGGTTCAAGGCAAGTTCCTGTTTTTGTTTTTGTTTTCAAGTTGTAGGTCACACAGGCAGTCCTTCTTAGATTGGCCTCCTGACTCCATTTTACAGCCCTGAACCAGAGTGATGCCATTTTGTATATCATGTTTGACATTTCCATCTCTTGACATGAGGAAGCACTGATGATCAATCATCGGTTGGTCAGCCACAGATGTGTTGAAGTTTCCCTTGGAGCTAGAAATGCTTGTTTCTAGAGTGTCCTGTTCTATGGAGGGAGGTTGTCAAAAGTGAGTGTGCATCCAAGGCTTCAGAGATTGACCAAATTTGAGTAACAAGGGAGACATTGTAGTAAGTAGGCCTGCATTAGTCTGTGGCAATTAGCTGTATATCAGGAGAGGCATACATTTGATTAACCTTGTCTAAATGTTGTGACACTGTGATTTTAACATCTTGGGTTGTCTGGTAGCAGTGGGAAATACAGATGGTACAAGTCTTTCTGCCAGCTTGTCAGGGCATGAGTTTCCTTGACTGCAGCTTCCAGAAGAGCAGAACAGCTTTGGTATCCTGCTCAAAGTGCCAAAAACGTAGGGGCAAAGGGAAAACTTTCTCTTTGCCCTTTGAAGGTTTGCTGAAAATCAGCTGACAAAAGGCAGATTAATAGAAGAGGCATACAAATTGTATTAACGTGCATGAGATAGGGGAGGAAATCACAGAGCGATTGCCCCAAATCCCCCAGTGGGGTACAGAAGCTTATATACCATTTTTCATGGGGGAGGGAGGAAATGGGGAATGTATTCTTTTTTTTTTAAATTTTACTTATTTTGCTTTTTTAATAATAGTCATCCATTTAGCCAAAGTGATAATTAAAAGATTTCAAAAAGCAAAAGAACCCTTTACTCTTTGATAGAGAGGGGTCTCAACTTTTCAATCAGAAAACCTAATAAAGACAGCATGGGGCAAACTCTCCTTTTTTTTTGTAGTTTACTCAAAAGGTAAACAAAAATCTTTTACTATTTCTTATTAATAGTACACAAAAATCTTGTTTAAAAGAGAAAACAAAATTCTATAATACCTTTGCATCAGTGTATTATTCATGCTAAAGCTAATTTTAATAAAATCTTACGAACAAATCCATCCAATCTCAATCAGCTTTGACAATGTTAAGATTTCCATAATCCTTTTATAATGTCTTATAGTTTTCCCATTCTTTCTTTCCCCAACTTTCTATATCCATTTAATCTATGATTCTTTTTTTTATTCCTTCAATTTAAAACAATCTTTATATAACCTCTAGACAAAATTACTTTTCCTTTGGCCAGACACAGTGGCTCATGCCTGTAATCCTATCACTCTGGGAAGCTAAGGTGGGAGGATTGCTTGAGCTCAGGAGTTAGAGACCAGCCTGAGCAAGAGCGAGACCCCACCTCTAAAAAAAAAAAAATAACAATAATTACTTTTCCTTTAACTATTAATGAAACCACATTCTCATGTCTTACTACCTTCTTTACCAAAAATGCTTTCCTTGTACATTCTTTGTACAGAATTGTTTCTCTTATATCGAGTGGTTTTTATTTACCTCTATTAACTAATTTGAACTCTTAGTAACCCTAATTTCCATGGAAATTCAGGTGTTTTCCAGCATGCTGTGGTCATTGTCAAAACATGGTTTTGGTTTTTGTTTTTTCCAAGTTGCAGGTCGTGCAGGCAGTTCTTAGATTGGCATCTGGACTCCGTTTTGGAGCCCTGAACCCAGAGTGATGCCATTTTGTGCATCACATTTCACACTTGCTTGATGCGTGGGGAAAGACACACCTGGTGTCAGAAGTGTGTTGTGAGCGTATAGTAGGAGAAACTGAAATTTTTTCTTTCTCTTCAGTGTAATGTACTTCGCAGATTCCAGGGGTTATACTGTGCAATCTTTAAGGAGGGGGCAATTATTCTGCCTACCACAGGAGCTGATTCTGATTTAAAAAGTAGTATGGGTCAAACACAATACATCTACATGTGGATGGCATCCATGGGCTACTGTTTCCTTCGGCGTGGTGTCTAGAGTGCAGGCTGTGAGTCTCCCTGCCCAAAGTTAGCGTGGGCGCAGCCACTGACTAGCCTAAACTTTGGTATTCAATAAAATAAGATCAGTAGTGCTGCCTGCCTTATCAGATTGTTATGAAAATAATACATGTGAAATACTTAGCACAGTGCCTGCCACATAGTAAATATGCAATCAACATGAGCTATTATTCATTTTTGGAGACCCTAATATGCAGTAAATTCCTTGACTGTAGAAGCCCTTGGCTCTGCATTTGCTGCGCCATCTGTTCCCAAGCTGCATCTGAATGTGGCCATCGGATACGTTATAGATAAGAGTTCAGTGAGCCCTCAACCGGTCCTCATTTCCTTAAGCAGGAGCCCTCTGTCTGGGAGGGCCACAGGGTGTAGCCTCAAGTGGTGCCACTATAGGCTGGGTCACAGGACTAGTGTCTTTCCTGTTCAGACTCCGTTTATACATTCCTGTCAAGCACCAGCAGGGCTGTGAGCCTGTGAGAAACCATCCCAGGAACGCTCAGAGCCCCCGTGCAGACCTAACACAGGCATTCCGGCACTGAGCAGGACCTGCTAAGGGTGTGCATGTGGGCAAAGGTGTCCCAAACCGTGACTATGGTCAAAAGCAAATTAGCATCCAGTCCCTACAGACTCAGTGACTCACTCAGGGATAACTGAGTGTCTATGCCATTTCTAAATTAAATTAAATCTAAAAACATAACAGTTTTTCATATAAGATGACCTAGAACCTGTAGACAATACCATTATATTATAAAGCATTGTTTTGTCCCCGTTTTCTGAATGTATTCATACAGTCTGTATATTAAGCCTCTTTGATTTTCATCAAAAGTAACTGATGTGCCAGTTTTAAAATATATTCATTCACAATTTGGTATTTTCTTCTTTGCTTTGACCACTGGCAGGCTCCATGCTAAATTTTCAATCTTCTAGCAACGGAGAGGCACTTGTACATTCTTACGTAGTAATCTTATCCCTAGCTTTATTTTGGTCTATTCTTTTTATGTCCTCCCATCTGCCCAGATTTCCTCAACTTTTAATTTTATAATTATGTGTTTTTATCACCCCCAAGCCTCTCTGGAACAACATAGGGAATAGAGTTTATTTTATGTTAGCTTTTTTGAGACAGAGTCTCTCTCTGTGGCCGGGGCTAAAGTGCTGTGGCGTCAGCCTAGCTCACAGCGACCTCAAACTCCTGGGCTCAAGCAATCCTCCTGCCTCAGCCTCCCGAGTAGCTGGGATTGCAGGTGTGTGCCACCATGCCCGGCTAATTTTTTTCTATTTTTAGTAGAGATGGGGTCTTGCTCTTCCTCAGGCTAGTCTGGAACTCCTGACCTCAAGAGATCCTCCTGCCTCAGCCTCTCAGAGTGCTAGGATTATTGGCATGAGCTACCGCACCTGGCCTCGGAATAAATTTTAGAATATTATTATAAAGAGACATGCTATTCAGTGATGATCACTGAAAGATTTTCATCAAAAGTAAGCGAAGTACAGTTTTTCAATGTCTTTATTCACAAATCAGTATAATATTGGTCAGTTTGAATGTTACCTGTATGATAAAACAGATTATGAAAAATATCATATTTACAACGAGAGTGTTATTTTATATAACTGTGTCATTGAATATGCAACTCCTGCAATAATAACTTAATGGATCCAACGCTACCCTCTGAACAGACCAATTTTATGATTCTCCTAAAAAGTATTGACTTGGGTATAGTTTCTTGGTGCCTCTTTCCGTGATCCAAGGCTTAAGAAAAAAAATCCCTGGAAACCAGCAGTTGGAAGCAGACCTCACCAGGATTGAGGAGAGGCAGGAGTGGAAAAAAGGACACTGGACACGACCCCCAGCAGTCTCAACCGCTGTGCCACGTGCCCGACTGCAGAGCACCAGGCAGTCAAGATCCATGTGGAGCCATGTACATCTATGTCCTGTCACATCTCAAATGCCCACAGCTGCTACACTTAGCAGAATATGGGGGTGAGGGGGCACCTTGTGGAGGAGGAAAGAATCAGTCCCAACAATTACATTATAAGAACATCTCTAAGTTTTCAATACCAAGGATTAATTCCTAAAATGCAAGTTTACAGACAGAAGGTACAGAAGTGAGCCACTAACTGAAATGTGTGCAACACAGTCAAGAAACTGCTGTGCTTACAAAATCACTTACATCTTATTTATCTCTAATTTTAAAATAGTTCATTTTCTTGTTGGGTATACAAGTGAGCAGTGGAGAAAGTGGTGCATCTGCAATACCTGAAATTTAAAAAAGAAAAAAGAAAATTAAAATAATCACAAGGGCATGGATTTGAGTCAGTTTAAAAATGGCCAAGATTAGATGGTGGATCACGGGCCCCCCTCACTCCCTCTGTCCCCCATGAAGTACAGAGGCAGAATATGCAAGACAGGACATGAGGGGTACAGACTGGAGCCACGGGGGAGCTCCGAGGTAATCAGTCCGCAGAGAGGATCGAATGGAGGTATGTTGTTAATTTTTCTAGCTTGTAAAATAAGCTGACCACTCACCTGCTGGTGCTAAGGATTTCAATGCTTCCAAAAGATGTGGACTAGAGAACTTTATTAGGCACCGGAGGGGTTCTTCCCTCTCAGCCAAGATGCCTCCATTTTTGAACTTCGTTTCAAGCTGTTAACAAATAAATAAATAAATATATACACACACACACACACACACACACACACACACACACACACATATATTTTTTTTTTGAGGGAAGGAGGGAGGGAAGGAATGAGGAAGAGAGGGAAACAAATGTATTTATAAGTGACTATTAAATATGTTAGTTGGAATGGTAAAATATAAAATCAGATTACACATTTCATTAATTCTGTTTTTTCTGTTAATCTCATTTTAATTCTTGTCATCAAGAAATGTAGGGATTAATGGGGTGGAGACCATTTAATTTATTAACTGCAAACCTAGAGGACAATCAGTTTATTAAACAATATCCCACACAAAGTGCCAGTGTGCACGGTGCCTGACACACAAGAGGTGTGGAATGTCAGTTCTGCCCTTAGATGCTCTTTACAATTAATGGAAAACTAGTGTTATCTTTTGTAATCTATCGTATCAATGTAAAAACACCACATCTTTTGAGTTATTGCTAAGATTTCTTTCTAAATTATTATGGAAGATTTTAAATATACACAAAAGTGAGGAGCACAGTATGAGTCCCACGTGCACATCACCCAGGTGAGATAATTATCAGCTCGTGGCCGGTCTCATTTCACCTGTTACCCTGCCTCCCATTCCCTACCGCCCACCCCCACTGGACTATTCTGAAGGAAATCCAAGATACCAATACATTCTCCCTGTAAATATTTCAGTATGTATCAAAGAGACATGAAAGGACTCTTTAAAAACTGGACCCCAGTACCATTACCATACCTAAAACAATTCGTTAATATCTATTACCAAGTAGCCAAGTGCTAGTACTTTAATAGGTACTTGGCTTTTTGATTCTAAGTTTCAATGTTTTTTTTAACTTAAAGTGATCCCTCAAATTTAGAGGCGGTAGGCTGAAATATTTGGTGGATGACTAATGTCTGCAACTAACTCAAATGGTTCAGAATAAAGAGAGAGAGAAAGCAGATGTGGCAAAATGTTAACAATTGGTGAATTGAAGCGAAGAGAAATGGATGTTCATTGTACTATTGTTGCTGAAGGTTTGATTGACATTTTTCTTTTCTTTCTTTCTTTCTTTTTGTTTGTGTGTTTTTTTTTTTTTTTTGAGACAGGGTTTTACTCTGTCCCTCAGGGTGCTGGAATACAGTGGTGTCAGCCTAGCTCACTCACTGCAGTGTCAAACTCCTGGGCTCAAGCGATCTTCCCACCTCAGCCTACCGAGTAGCTTGGGACTACAGGCGTGCACCACCACGCCTAGCTAATTTTTTTATTTTTTTGTAGAGACAGGGTCTCACTATGTTGTCCAGGCTGGTCCCAAACTCCTGGCCTCAAGCAGTCCTCCCACCTTGGCCTCCCTTGACAGTTTTCAAAATAGAAAAGGTAGAGAAAAATTAGTTGCAGGGATGAATAAATGTGCACCCTGACTTACAGAATAAAGCCATTCTAAGATGTGTGTAAAGGGAAGTTTTGCAAATCAAACTTCTGTATTCTGGACCAGTGGCTCTCCAGCTTTAGTGTACAGAATCAGCTTGAGGTCTCGTGAGAATAGATTACTGGGCACCATGTCCCCTGATCCAGTAGGACTAGGGTGAGGCCAAGAATCTGCATTTCTCACCCATTCCCAAGTGATACTGATACTGCTAGTGCAGGGACCACACTTTGAGAGCCACTGTCTTAGAGTCAGAGCTGTTTAAAGAATTGGGGTTAATATCTGCCATTAAGGGAACCCAACTTGAAAGCTGTCAGTCAATTTCTCCCACTAAAAACAAATCAAATCAAACAGGCTTTGGGCCAAAGGGAGCAGATCAATGGTAGATTTAAAGTGTCACCTATAGCTATAGGAAGGCTAAACAGAAAGAATTTTATTAGCGGGTTTGAGAGGAGGAGGGTGTTATGAGTATGAGCATGGACTCAGATGAGGGTGATGATGATATGAACCTCAAGTTTTTCTAATGGTGGCAATGGGCTTGCATTAAACACCTGTAGCACCTACCTGGCCTCCCCAGTAGGCAGTGGCACACTTCTGGAAAGAGCTACATTTGTAGTACTATTTAGGTTACTGGTTTTTCTCCATGTGATGCCAACTGGGCTATGCAAGACTTATTTATTCATTCTTTTATTCAATAAGTATTTATGAACACCTACTATGTGCCAAGTACTGTTCTAGGTGTGGATCGGCTAGAAAGGCATCACCTACAATTTTTTTCCCTTCAAATATACAGATCACAGCCAGTTATATATTACTAAATTAATATATAAGATGAAATGAAAAGGCAAATCCACAATTTCAAAGATCTCCTTTGTTAACAGGGGAACATATAATACAATAAAGAGGTCCACTTAACTCAAAAATTTATTATATAAAATTGAAGTGATAAATGAAAAAGGAACTGTTTTTTAGTCTTGTTTTCCACTTAAGGCTTTTTTTTTTTTAATGTCGGTAACTCGTAGTTAACGTTTGTTACAATGTCCTACCTTATATTGTGCAAATTCTAGCTGTGGTTGAGGATAGTCTCCAAAAGTTTCTTGAGTTACTCTTTGGACTCTCTCTTTTTCCATTGCGTTTTCATGAATGATCCTTGAATCCACTATAGATAGAAGATTTCAAATAAAACAGATGTTAGGAATATATTTTATCCTTAAAGTTATCCTCCTTTCATCCCTAACCTTTCAAACTGTTTGTATAATTTAAAAATAATGTTTACTGTTTCTTCTCTTGATTGTAATAATTTCTTATTGTAGAAAAGTTGGGAAGTACATGCTTATAAAAGAGAAAATAAAAACCACCCATTAGTCTCACACCTAGAGATAAGTACTGTTAACATTTTAGTATATTTCTGTCTAGTTCTTTTTACAATGAGCAAAACTAAAGATCCATATATATATATATTTTATTTTGCCAAGATTGGACTTGAACCTCCTGGGCTCAAGCAATCCTCCTGCCTCAACCTAACAACTATTAGCACGTGCCACTATGCCCACCTAATTTTTCTTATTTTTTGTAGAGATGGGGTCTCGCTATTACTTAGGCTAGCTGTATTTTTTAAAACTGGGATCATAAAATACATATAATTTTTTATCCTACTTTCTAATTTTTTCTTTTCTTTTTTTTTTTTTTGAGGCAGGGTCTTGCTCTGTCACCCAGGCTGCAGTGGCATCATCAGAGCTTACTGTAGCATCAAATTCCTGGGCTCAAGTGATTGTCCTGTCTTAACTTCCTCAGTTGCTGGGACACAACAGGTGCATGCCCTCATGCCTGGCTAATTTTTAGAAAAATTTTAAAGTTTTTTGTAGAGACTGAGCTATGTTGCCCAGGCTGGTCTTGAACCCCTGGCCTCAAGTGATCCTCCCACCTCAGCCTCTCAAAGCCCAAAGTGCTGGGATTACTGGCATGAGCCATTAGGCCTGGCCCTAACACAAAATCAACAGCATACATCATAAAAATGTTTAGTTTATAACAGCAGTACCATTTCATTTTATTGCCAAATCACTACTAGAAGATAGGAAACTTTTCATTTTTTATAAGTTTATATAGCACCCCACCACTTTTATGAACTTTCTGATTCACTTTAGTAGTTCTATACTCTTTTCTCTTGGGGTTTCTAGGAGTGACTCATGTCATCTGTCAGTAGCAGCATAGTCACAATCCTGCTTATTCAAGAAGTTTATCGGGCCGGGCGCGGTGGCTCACGCCTGTAATCTTAGCACTCTGGGAGGCCGAGGCGGGTGGATCGCTCAAGGTCAGGAGTTCGAGACCAGCCTGAGCAAGAGCGAGACCCCGTCTCTACTAAAGATAGAAAGAAATTATCTGGACAACTAAAAATATATATATAGAAAAAATTAGCCAGGAATGGTGGCGCATGCCTGTAGTCCCAGCTACTCGGGAGGCTGAGGCAGGAGGATCACTTGAGCCTAGGAGTTTGAAGTTGCTGTGAGCTAGGCTAATGCCACGGCACTCTAGCCAGGGCAACAGAGCCAGACTCTGTCTCAAAAAAAAAAAAAAAAAAAGTTTATCCAGTGCATCAAGAGCACATTAATCTGGATCATGGGACCCAGATTCAGACACCCAAATTTCGCTTTTGGCATTGCCACGCCCTAGTTGTGTCACTTTGCCCTACAGAGTTACCAATCCTCCCTGAAACCCAGTTTCTTGATGAATAGCGCTTATTCATGGCACTACTGTGAAGATTACGGAAATAATTATATAAATATCTTAGCATAGTGATGGGCACAAAAGAAATGCTCAACAACTATTAGCTAATTTTTTTTGTTTATTGTTATTCTAGTAAATTCTAAAGGGGACCTATGGTAGCTTAGCTTTTCTCCTTCAACAGATATTTAATATTCAATTTTTCTTAAAGCAGTAAATAGTTTTGAATTAGGATCCTAGTACATATATGTTTTACTGAGTGACAGCAATGTATCAGGGAATAGTGCACTTCCAAATTCAGTTTTATATTTTATATTAAAACACACATACTATTTACATGTAGCCCAAGGCTTCTTTCTTGTAGAGGTGTTGTAGGGTTGTGAGTTTCAAAGTTCTAGGGAAAAAAGAAGAAAAAAGTGAATGTTTTACTAATTTAGTAAATCTTGAAGTATAGATATTAACTGGTTTTAGTACATAAAAGTATGGAAAGTATTTTTTCTAATAAAGAGACATTCAAGGCCACATCCTGGCTGAGTTGGGGATTTCTTCTAGAGCAGGATGTTGACAGGAGGCTGCTGTCCCTGCAGCATGGCTGTTTTGTTTGAGGAGCTCTGTACTTTGTTATCATAAAAATGGATCTGGAAGAAGTATAGATGGTGAGTGCAAAAGCTAGAGGAATCAAAGGCAGTATTTGCAATGTGATGTTTCGGCGTCACAGCTGTATCTTTATAACCCGAAAAAACTCACTGAGTTTTTTTGGAACAATAACTTTCCTACTGTAAATCTGAATCTCTTGGATCCCTTCTCCCACCTTCCCCCACTGAAGCCATTGTTTTTATAATTAAGTGCTCAACAATGTGAATTTTCCTAGGCATGCAACTGTCACATTATAGCAGAATAATTTGTATCAATTTGGTGGGAGGGGGCTGCTAGGGGAGCAAATCATTATCTAACTTCTTAATGTTAGACTTTTTTCTTTAAAGAGGGACTTGCAGAGAGCTATCACTTCTTTCTACTTAGAACAGATGCAAATACTTAAGTATAACATCTTTAAAGGCTCAAAGATACATACACAGAGCATTAACAATCCAAACAGGGGTCTGAACACACGAGCAGACATTTGCCATATAGAGGAAAACACATTCCTGAGCCTGTAAGGATGGAGCCATTCTTGTCATCAGAGAGGAACAACACATTCAAATGTTTTAACAAATATATAAATTGTGAGACTTAATAAACCAATGCTTTCCCCTTTAATTCCAACTTCTACATTACCTGCTTGACTGATGGGACAAAAAAATTAATTATACGTCTCTCTTGCAAAATGGAATAATAGATTTAGCTTCAAAAGATAGTGTCAAGTTATTCTAAAGAGAAAATAAATACTAACTGGAATAGCTGATTTGGAAACTGGGATCTATAATACAGACTCCAATGACGAGTGAGTGGTATAAAATACAATACAATTAGAAAAAGATGATATTGAGAAATTATTTTGTTTCTTTTCATGTTAACTAATTGAGAGCTTTCTCTACACAATAATATCTAAAGTGATCTCTTCCTGGAGGTGGACTTTCTTACCTCTCAGTGGCTTCTAACTCCTGTGTAAAAGAGAAAATGAAGACTTAACTTTAAAGAGAGTCACTGATTGGCTCACCTGATTATACTGCTTAAAAACAATAGCTTTAAGAGAGTCCAGATACCGGCTTCTCAGGTCCATTTTCACAATCTCATGGTGTTTGCTAGCAATCGTCAGTGCCTTGAAATGAAAATTAGCAAGACTATTATTAGGATTTCTGTCTCTGTTTATAATATTTGTCAAAGTAAAATGGAGCTGCAATCAGTGAATAGTTTCTACTTAAGAGTGAAAAGAAATCCAAAAAATTTAATATAGCCTGTTACTCAGCTTCAAAAACAAAAAAGTGGTTAATGGCATTAAGTCTCATAAATGCAGTCTTTTGTACCTTTAAACAGAAAAGTGATTCTGTTTAAAGTTAGCAGTTACAATAAATCATGTTCAGACTTAGGAATAAACAATGAATACTCAAAATGTTACTATTTTAGAATACCAGTCATCTAATACTATAATGATACTGCCACACAAAAACGCAAATATGTATGCTTTAGGGCAAATATTGAAGGAAAAAGTGTGTATTAAATGTAATTTATAAAATTTTGGAAACATTTTGGAAACAGAAGACTGAAACAGAATTACTAGAATAAGATATTTCCTGGATCTAGAGAATGGAGATAAGTTTGTCTTAAGATACACGCTAGAAATGAACATTAGTCTTTGGGGTAATGTGTCAACTTCCCATGGCAGGGTCTACTTACCTGGCTGTAAGTGGATGAGCCACCATGTGTCATGGAGGAAGAGACCCCAAATGGAAAGAAGTAGTGTTAAGTGTTAAAGGCAAAGAGAAGTGAGCAGCAGTCTTTCTGACATTTCAAAAACCAAGAAACTTAAAATGACAAGCAAATAAACCCACAGGGACCCCCTAGCTCACTTGGTCCCAACAATGCAGTGCTGGCTGCTCCACCCAGCTCTGTGAGACACAGGAGTGCACAGATGACAAGCCAGGATGGCCGAGGTGCCCCACAACCAGCGGAAGTGGTAGCTCCAGAACCACTTTAAGGTGCCACTGTAGTTGTGAGTGCGAACAGTGACAGCAGCAGTCACCAGGCCAATTTAAGGATGGCTCATTTTGGGGAAGGATGCCAGGAAGCCTGTGATACCAAAGGCAGAACCATAAAGAGAAGCAGGCTCTGGACAGATCCTTATGTTACAGCAGTCTTCCTGTGCACAGGATGTGGGGAAAATGGGTACAGAGGAAAATAATGTTCATTAATAGGCAAACTATATAGTCATGAAAGAGCAATGAGGTATTTTCATATGTAACCACACGGAAATGTTCTATTAAGTTAAAAAAGAAAATTACAAAATAATGTGCCACCCTGGCTTTTGTAATGAAACATCTTTTGAAAGGAAATACCAAACTTTAGCAATAGTTATTCTGGGTGAATGGGATAGTGAAAAGGAGTACGAAGTTTTGAAGAATAACTTTTTTTTTTTGAGACAGAGTCTTGCTTTGTCACCCTGGGTATCCCTGTAACCTCAACCTCCTGGGTTCAGGCGATCCTCCTGCCTCAGCCCCCCAGTAGCTGGGACTGCAGGCGGGTGCTACTAAACCCGGCTAATTTTTTTTTCCATTTTTGGTAGAGACGGGGTCTCACTCTTGCTCAGGCTGGTCTCGAACTCCTGACCTCAAGCGATCCTCCAGCCTCAGCCTCCCAGAGTGTTTGTTAGGATTACAGGCATGTACCACCAGGCCGGGCTAATGGTTGTATTTTTCCACATTAACCATGCATTACTTATAGATTAAAAGACAATAAAGAATAGTTCCAAACTAATATCTTACACCACGTTCCCAATTGTAGATAACAACATTCCCTGCTCCTTATTTTAGGAGAATACGAATTAAAAATTAATGGAGAGAGAGAGAGGGAGGAGAATAAAGGAGAGGAGAATAAAAAGAACAAAAAGAAAAAAATTAAAAGTGGCATTCTATATCAAAGTTTTATTGAACAGTTTAAACCTACGTAGATCTTTGAGATAAGGACAATAAAATATCATAGCTCAGAATAGTTTGTTCCATACCTGACCCAGAAGGGGTATGTTGCTCTTCAGCCTGGAGAAAGAAGTGAAGGCGTATGGTGTCTGGGAATAATACACCACATAAGTAGGTTTGTACTGGTTTGGCTTTGTATACTGTGTTCCCCAGGCGATTCGAATCCAGACTGCATTTTCCTCAGTGTCTCGGAAGCTGACTGTTACCTTATTAAAAAAAAGATATCGGTTTCTTAATTAGTATCTCATCATGGCACCAACTGTAGGTGCTTTTTAGGGGCAAACAGTGTCACAATATTCTTGCACACAGATTGAGACCTGGCAACATTTTCTCCTACTTTTCATGACGGTGTTTTAGGAATTTTTGGGAAAATGTTTTGTGATTGTTTTATAAAGACACATTTATGCCTTGCAGAGTCTTTTGGAAAAAAAAAAAAAATTTTTTTTTTTTTGAGACAGGGTCATGCTCTATTGCCTGGGTTAGAGTGCAGTGATGTCATCATAGCTCACTGCAACCTCAAACTCCTGGGCTCAAGCAATCCTCCTGCCTCAGCTTCTCAAGTAGCTGGGACTACAGGCATGTGCCACCACGCCTGGCTAATTTTTTTTATGTTTTGTGGAGACAGAGTCTCGCTATATTGCCCAAGCTGGTCTTGAACTTCTGAGCTCGAGTCATCCTACTGCCTTGGCCTCCCAAAGTGCTAGGATCACAGGTGTGAGCTACTGTGGCTGGTCAGAAAAAAATTTTTAAAAAGCTACAATCAGGGTATGACATCAACATTTTTCAATAATTTCTTGAGCTTGTCCTAAAAACTCTTCCTCCACTTGTAGTTTATGAAGGCACCCTTACAAATGAGATACCTGTTTTATAATGAAGCCTTTTTAGCACCTAGTACAGACCTAGCATGCGCTATGAAGTTTAACAGTAAGATTTCTGTGCAGTAATGGGCTTAAAAATATACTAGCACTAATGCTTTTGTGCATTTAGCTCAGAAGCTGAAAACTACTCTAAAGGAATGTTATATGGTGAGAATACAGGACGTTTTATTTGGTTTCCCTTTCGTGGATGAAATATAGGCCTTTCTAAACTTTTAAACATGATTGCCAGTTGGTCTGGAATTTAATAGCCTGGTCCTGGATTATCAACTTACCCTGATTCAGCTTCCCCTTGGAGCTCGGACCCTGGAAAGGGGAAACTTGAGACAGGTGCACTTGGCTTGCCCACGTCTCTTTATTTCCTCCCTCTCAGGTCTTACTCCAGGAAAAGTGGGTTGTTATCGTAGTTGCTGGCACTACAAACTCTGCCCACTTTTTATCTAGCTGCTTTTCCAAATTCGTTTGGTGCAGGAGACAGGGAAGACTCCTCAGTCTGGGGCGTGCAGGTACAAAGCTGTCTGACTTTCCCGAGTGACAGGCACAGAGCTTGGCCCTGTTAGCTACTCAGTGGGCCTCTACTGGCTTGAATGGAAGGTCTTACTCTGCATAGCTTCTTTGTTTCACATTACAAAAGCAAATACAAGCAAAATGCCTATAAAATCAAGGGTACTTCAGAGCTGCATTGACCATTACTGGAACCACTAGCCACATGTGGCTAATTAACTTAAATTCATTAGAGTTCAACAGGATTAAAAATTCAGCTGCTCAGTCACACTAGTCACATCTCAAGTGCTCAGTAGCCACATGTGGCTACTAGTTAGCATACTGGATGGTACTGAAGTAGAACATTTCCAGTTGGGTGTAGTGGCTCACACCTGTAATTCCAGCACTTTGGGAGGCTGAGGTGGAAGCATTACTTGAAACCAAGAGTTTGACACCAGCGTGGACAACACACTGAGACCCTGACCCTGTAAAAAAATTTTTTAAAAATTAGCTGGATGTGGTGGTGTGCACTTGTAGCTCCAGCTACTCGGGAGGCTGAGGCAGGAGGGTTGCTTGAGCCCAGGAATGTGAGTCTACAGTGAAGTATGATTGGGCCACTGCACTCTAGCCTGGGCAACAGAGCAAGACCCTATCTCTGAGATATAAAAAATAAAAAGAATATGTCCATCAGTGCAGAGAGCTCTATTGACAAAGAAGCATCAGGCCATGAATGCTGAATGGAAAGGTGAGAGAAGAGGGGAAATTTTTATACTATTTAGAGTACACCTTTGATATGGAGTAGAACAGTATGGAATATTACTAATCGAATTTCTTACAAATGAAAAAACAAGATAGTAGCAAATTTTATATGAACAGATGTCATTAAATTGAATTTCATATAAATTCAGATGAATTTTATTCTTACATTTTTTAATGCTCTCTGAAGAACTTTCTTAAATGAACTTTTGAATTGTTTCATATCAAAAAGATCAATATCTTCACCTGTCAAAGTGAAAAAAAAGAAAGAAAAATTAAGGGAGCTACACAGTCTTTAATAAATACATTTGCAAAGAACCCTGGAGCTAAGCGTTTTATCTAGATCCAGAGCCATAATGATTAAGTCACACAAATGCTGCTAGGACCTCTGACACGGCACTACCAAATATATTTCTGATTTTGCTTAAATGAGTCATAAATAATCACCTCATTTTGAAAGAAAAGAGATTTAAGAGGGACATACTGCTATTCACTTTTAAATTGCCAAAATGTCAAATACAAGTATTCACATTAAGACAGAAAATATTACCTGGTCCTTTACTCATCTGAAAAACATCCCACATTTTCTGGTGCCGATGAACTTGAGTATCTGAGAGAGGCGAGAAGGGCTCATTACTACTTAGTACGGTATCATAGAACTTTGAAGTAATGTGCTTATAAATAGATATTTTTAATAATATAAGACTGGGGAAAATAACAGTAATTCACAAATTAGGTTATATAGATTTTTATTCAAAATATAAACTTTATATGGATTAAATTTACTTGATACAAATAAAACAAATCATAACTACTCAATTCAACCGAGCTAGATAATACAGTTCTGCTTTAGCATTTATTATTATGTTAGTCGGCCCATTTGTTCTATTTCCCTGTAAGTCTGCTCCATAGAATGCCACATCTACCCAGCGACAGGGAACGCTGGGCTCCACGTGACTGATGGTTGTGTCAGCCGCTCCTTTGCCTGGCAACTGTTCTAGTTCCTTCCACACCTCCTTCCTCACCTCGTTCTGCTCTCCACTCAGAGTGGCCCACCCTGTGCACCCTACCCCAGTGGCCCTGCTTTTAGTTCCTGTCACAGGACTCACCGCTACCTGAGCTCACATTATGTACTCAGATGTGCATCTGTATATTGCCTGTCTGCCCAGGTAGATTCTTATTGAAATGAGGGACCTGTTCACCGTTGTTGTCCCAGGTCTAAACTTAACGGCCTGGCACAGGGCGAGCACTCAGTGTATGTTTGGCAAATGAATCAATGGATAAATGTATGGCATGGAAGACACCCTTCAGGAGTTACAAACTGGAGAGTACCTTAGGGCAGAAATGGACCTAGGAAGTCAGCAAGTTCAACCCTACCCACCATCCTTCTGGCTTAAAACTGTCCCTGTGCACTGTAAGTACACATCACCAAAACTTACAAACGATGTCTAAAAGGGCTGCGTCTTTGAGACTTGCACGCTTTTCCTGAAAGAGAGGATAAATTATTTAGTAACCGTGGTGATAGGTTTGGTTCTACCCCATTTAAAGCACATTTTAGGAGTGGTTGGAACAGACTATTAGCATGCCCTCAGTAATTTACTGACAACCTGTCTCCCATCTATGTCCTCCTGTTAACCAACAGGTATACCTTCCGATTCACATCTCAGTCCAGGCACTCACAACCATCCTCCCACAATTTATTCCTCATTTATTGCTTTGGACTTTTTAGTTTTTTAAAATCAATTTTACTGAGGTATAGTTATACATTAAGCTGCACATATTTAAAGTGTACAATTTGGTTAAGTTTTGACTTATGGATATAGCCGTGAAACTATCACCACAATCACAACAGTGAACATATCCACCAGTCCCCCCAAATTTTCTTGTGCCTCTTATTTTTCTGAGACAGTCTGGCTCTGTTGCCCTGGCTAGAGTGCCGTGGCATCAGCCTAGCTCACAGCAACCTCAAACTCCTGGGCTCAAGAGATCCTCCTGCCTCAGCCTCCTGAGTACCTGGGACTACAGGCATGCGCCACCATGCCCGGCTAATTTTTTTCTATATAGATTTAGTGTCCGATTAATTTCTTTCTATTTTTAGTAGAGACAGGGTCTCGCTCTTGCTGAGGCTGGCCTCGAACTCCTGAGCTCAAACAATCCGCCCGCCTCGGCCTCCTGTGTGCCTCTTTCTTATTCCCCTTTCCACCCTTTTCTGCCCCCACCTCTCTCCCTCCCAAACCCTAGTCCTGAGGCCACCAGAGTTCATTCCTTTTTATTGCTGACTAGTAATCCATAGTATGGATATATCATAATTTGTTTATCCATTTACCTGCTGATACACATTTGGGTTGTTTCCAGTTTGGGCCTATTATGAATAATGTTGCTACGACCATTAGAATACATTTTTCATTTCTCTTGGGTAAATGCCTAGTAGGGGAACAGGCCGAATCATATGGTAAGCATGCATCTTAACTTTTTAAGAAACTGCCAAACTGACTTCCAAAGTGCTGTACCTTTTTACATTCCTACCAGCAGTGTATGAGAGCTCTAGTTTCTCCACATCCCAGCTGCCACTAATTATGATCAATCTTTTAAATTTTAGCCATTCTAATAAGTGTGTTGGGATATCTTATTGTGGTTTCAATTTGCATTTTTTCTAATGACTAATGATTTTGAACATCTTTTCATGTGTTTATTTGCCATCCATATATATTTTTTGAGGAAGTGTGTGTTTAATCAAACTTTTTGCTTATTTTTTGAGCTGTTTTCTTATTGAGTATTTTTTATATATTCTAGATACAAGTTCTTTATCAGTAATGATTTAGAAATAGTTTCTACTAGTCTGTGGCTTATCTTTTCATTCTCTTAATAGTAGCTTTCAAAGAAAAGAAGTTATTCATTTTGATGAAGTACCATTTATCAATTAATTTTTCTTTTATAGATTGTGTTTCTGGTGTTGTATCTAATCTAATTCAAGGTCACAAAGATTTTCTCCTGTTTTCTTCTACATGTTTTATAGTTTTAGGTACTACATTTGGGTCTTGGATGCATTTTGAGTTAACTTTTTTATATGGTATGGGGATGGACTGAAGTTCATTTTTTGGAATATGGGTATCCAATTATTGCAGCACCAGTTGTTGAACAAGATTATCCTTTTTTCACAGAATTGCTTTTTATAGCTCTGTAAAATATCAGTTAACCATATAATATGTGGGTCTATTTCTGGACCCTATTCTGTTGCCTTGATTTATTTGTCTGTTTGCCAACACCATCCTGGTATGGTTTGAATGTGTCCCCAAAAGGAATCCCCAATTCAAGAGTGTTTAGAGGTGGGACCTTTAAGAGGTGATAAGGTCATTAGGACTCTGCCCTCATGAGTGTATTAATGCTGTTATCACGAGAGTGGGTTCCTGACAAAAGGATGAGTTTGGCCCCCTTCTGCCAGTTTGCACACGTGGTTGTGCTCAGTCATGCGTGCACTCTCTCTCTCTCTCACTCACATGTGTATGTGCTCTCTTGCCATGTTATGAAGCAGCAAGAAGGCCCTCACCAGATTTGGGCCTCTTGACCTTGAACTTCTCAGCCTCCAGAACTGTAAGAAATAACTTTCTTTCCTCTATAAATTACCCAGTCTGTGGTATTCTGTTATAGCAACATGAAATGGACTAAGACACCCCGTGTCTTGATGATACTGGCTTTATAAGTCATTTTGAATTCAGGTAGTCTTAGTTCTCCAGCTTTTATCTTTTTCAAACTTATTTTAACTATTATGGGCCTTTCACATTTACATATAAATTTCAGAATCAATCTGGGAAAAACTGAGATCTTAACAACATCAAGACTTCTGATCCATGAACAACACAGTCTCTCTCTTCATTT